TTGACTCTCTGACAAATCAAGAGTCATTGTGACACTTGAACCAGCTCCAAACTTGACCACTGGTCCCTTCATTGTCTTTCCACCGCAATGGATATTCCCATTTCGCCCATAGATGCCCCAACAATGTTTTTGCTGACCACAAAAATTGTTTGGGCTTAGACGATGTGTAGATTTAGCCACTCCAAGCCAAACACCCGGTATTCCAAATCTGGCGATAGGATCTATAGTGACAGTCCAGCAGTACCTTCCCCCCACTTCAATTGGATCTCTATTGAGAGTGTCACTGCTCCAATCATTGACAGCAGTGCAAGTTTTGGATTTGTTCTCTTCCACTCTAGATCTCTATCGAAAGGGTCACTGCTCCAATCATTGACAGCAGTGAAAGCTTCAGATTTGGTTCTCTTCCACTCTACTGGGCCAACACTGGGGTGAGATTGAGGAAACGAAATGCTGCATTCCTGCTTTGCTTTCTTTGCCTCCTTTGCCTGATTCTTGAAGACATCATACAGTTGGTCTTTTGTCACCAAGCCTGATGTTTCCACCAATGTAGACAAATCGTCTGGGTCCATTAAGTCTAGTTCCACATGGTCTTGAATCATGGCCTTGGCAGAATTCTGGCGGTCTTCCTTGGTTTCATCAGGAACAGATGGCTTGCACTTGGACCAAGAATGGATCAAATTGAAGAGTTTTGTGGTGTCAATGTTGGCCTTGGCATCCTGAAGAATCGCCACCAGAACTGTGGAAGATGTGTGTTGTAGAGTAACTTCATTCAAGCATCCATTGGCCCTGAAGAGGCTTCTCCAAGCCTGATTGATCAATTCCTTTGAAATGGCAGGTCCCTCTTGTTTGGATGCTGCCAACACAGCAAATGCCACAGAGGGCATCACATTCATGGCAGTAAAAAGGCAATTCTGAGCCTTCTGGCAGAGACCTGGCAATCCAACAAGCATTGCTGCTTCTGTCAAGGAAACCAAGGTCTGGATTTCCATCATATGATCTGCAGTAAAGGCCCCAACAGCACTCTCTGAATAGTCAACCAAAGCACTGGCATTGTCAGTGTGAATGTAATCCACAATTGCCTTGAGAACCTTGCTGCAAAATCCAATGGTTACCACAGGATTACTAGTGGATTCCTTGAACCCATCCTTTTTGAACATGGTCTTGAAGTAGTCGCTACGGACCATCAAGGCAATTTGGTTTGCAGGGACCAGCACTCCATCTATACCAACGAGAGATATGTCATGATAGTCTGGGTCTGCCAAGAGGGCAAAGGCTTGGGAGCGCGTGACCTCAATATTCTCAACTTTGGTTAGCATGGTGGATGATGCCGCTTTGGGCATAGTGGTGGATGGTGCAACTTTGGGTAGCATGGTGAAAGGTGCAACTTTGGGTAGCATGGTGAAAGGTGCAACTTTGGCAGGAAGGGGTAGTGCAGCTTTGGCAGGAATGGTGGATGTGCACTTTGGCAGGAATGGTGGATGGTGCAACTTTGGGTAGCACAGTGGATGCTTCAATATTGGGCAGCACGGTGGATGATTCTACTTTGGTGGGAATGGTTGATGGTTCAATTTTGACAGGAATGGTGGCTTGCGTGAGGGGAGCCTCCAAATTCTCGTTTGGGTTTGTGGTTGTCATTCTTGTTATTTGTGGCTAGTAGCGATTGTTTCCCGAAGAGGAGGCAAAGTGCTGTATACTATCAGGGCTTTGCTTTGTGGAAGAAACAGAAAATGAGTTGGAGGTTGCTTGCCCGAGTATTGGGCGTCGAAATATCGAAGAAACGACTTCGAGTTTGATCGTTTCGGCGTGGAAGGTCCGTTTTGAAATGCACGGACCCAACAGTCGAAAGCAGTTTAGACGCACCGGTACCGTATCACCGGGCTTGTTCTGTCGGTACCGATAGACTCTCTTTTCGCTGAATCGAATCATCGTATCCGATCGAATCGATCTCCGGCCACCCACCCTTCCTTGCCGTTTGTGATCCAACCACGGTACTTTTTCTAGCTAGCTAGGTAGCATGCTGTACTTTTGCGGAACATGCACGTATAATAGTAGCCATGGTGCCCAAAGCAAAGCTATCGGTACGCAACAATAGTAATGTGTGCAAGCAAGAAGATACGCAAAGGAATTACAAGGCGCAACAAGGAACGAGACTTGACGAGTCAAACATGGCTGGCCCTGTAGTCAGTTGCCAGGGAAATAGTAATGAAATCATGGGTAGTTAGTACCGGCCATAAATGGCACTTCCGCCCGAACACGCACCAATGCTGCTGCATTGGATCTAATATTTTTAGATGCTAGCTAGAAGATGCGGACACCAACCATAAAAACCAGACTGGCTTCGTCGCTGCAGCTCCCTTATTTCAGTCTCGAGTTTGAAGCTCTCTGGCTGGCTACTAGCCAGTGTCCGGGCCCCCAAAGCAAAGCATCCATCCGCTTTGCCAGCAGCCATTAGATCTAGCTCTGTTGAGCTCTGTGGTTGCTTAGGAATCAGAGCACTTTTTACATGTAGTTTTACAGTCATAATACCGCTACAAGTACGAGTATGACATTAATGACAGTCATAAAGTGCTATTGTAATTGACATGATTTAAAGGACTTCCTGCTGCAGTCATACTGTTTTCCTCCTCACACACTTGGTCATTTTTTGCTGAATCCCCGCACAAGTTACTACAGTAGCTACTGTAGAGTAACAGGCTGTAGCGACACGATGGATGTTGCAGAGACATCCCTGATGGCGAGAGTCTTACCAGACAACTTGAGAGACTTGAGCCGTACTGGGTTCATTGTGTTCAAGCCTCGCATAAAATAACTTAGCAAAGAGGTCGCTGATCCCAAACGGTCGACTATAGGTTCTTGTACCAAGCTTGCACAGGACTCAAGAGCCGGAACCCGTCTATCTCACACAAATCACAAGCACCAACCGCAGGCACCAACCACAATCACACACATGAATGCCATGGAAGACAATCGACGCCACCAGCCACTACAACCAGGGATCCGGGCGCAGTCGGAAGCACCTTCATCCCCCAAGTCGGTAGTGGTCCGCAAGACTCTTGATGCCAAACTGAACAAGATGTCTCTCAACGCCAAACTGAACAAGCGAGACGAAAACAAGGCCACACAAGAACGACGAAAGCGTCTAGATATCTTGCGTGGGCAGTATCAAGATTCTTCGTGCCGCGAAGATGACGATGATGATGATGTCAGTTTGGATGGATCCGTCTCTTCCGTGTCCAGTTGGGTGGGGCGCAAGGGACGGAAGCTGTTTGGAAGCAGCAGCAGCAGCAGCAGCAAGTCCAAGAAGAAGGGATCATCTTCCAACAACAACAACAAGAGCCACTCGGCTTCCTCTTCCAGTCTCTCCTTGAATGACAGCAGCACCCGATTGTCCTCCAAACAACGAGGACTCGGAAGCATGTTTTCATCCAAGCGATTGGATACTGACCAAGAGGAAGAAGAGGAGGACGTGTCCATGTCCAGTTTGGGAGGGGACGATGATATTTACAACAATAGCATCAGCATCTACAATAGCAGCTTTTCCACACGGGGCAACGGAAGCAGCAAGGAGAGTCTGGTTGCTAGCGCCAGTCTCTTGGGGGACTTTTCCGACGACGAAGACACGGATCTGGTCCCGGCACACAAGTCGGACAGCCACCTCGTGCGCAAACGAACAAAGAAACAGAAAGCACCAAGGAAAAGCAAGGAGTCGTCTAGCAAGGAGAGATCTGGTAGTAGCAGGGGCGAAGGCAAGACCAGCAAGTCAACCACCTCTAGTAGCACCAAAAGAAGCAAGCAAAGAAAGACCAGAAGGACTGATGATGATGACAAAAGGAGGACCAGAAGGATGGAAGCAAATATTAGTAGCGGGGATGACAAAAGAAGCAAGCCTTCCCACAGAAGGCCCAGGCTGGATGGACAACAACATCCGTCTTCCAGACGACACCGTAGTGATTCGCCCCGCAAACAACGGGGTGACTCACCACCACGAAGGCACCAACGACCCAAGGCAAAATCCGTTGAAGAATCCACCACATCCCGTGCAGCTCCGTTTCGTCGCGCTGCCACAGCCGATGAAGCATCGTTGGCGGCTCGCCGCAGCCGTCGTGCACCACGATCTGAGGAACGCACCAGCAACAGTCGACCAAACAGACGCAGTCCCCTTGCGGGAGACGCACCCAAACCCAGAGGACCCATTGTGAGAAGAGTTTCTTTTGATGGCGAGGAACCGGCCTTGCGAAGCATTATTCTATCCGAAGCAGCAGCAACTGCCCCAGAAGGTCAACAACCTTCACTACGAAGTCTCCTTCTGGGAGATGCCCCTCCTCCCCGAGCAGCAAGACGAAGTTCCGTGGCGAGCGAAGCCGCTACAAGACGACATAGTTCTACAACAACCGAACAAGATGATGGCGATACACCAGCGCTGAGAAGCATCATTCTAGGAGAAACCAATCTTCCACCCAGACCTGCGAGACGAAGCACCTTGGCTCCCAGAGGGCCTCCCCGTCGTTCGAGCTCCTCGATAGATTCCGATGAAGCGCCCAGCAGATCCAGACGCCCAGGTGGTTTGCCTCCTCGACAACACACTCGTTAGAAAAATGACGGTCGACGCGTGGCTGCAGCAAAACAACTATGAATAGCATTTTATGAATAATCTAAAGGAATAGAAGTGTCACAAGAGCCCGCAATGATTTCTCATGGTATCCATGGTCAATGACTTCAGATCATGGTGCCGCGACGGGAGATTTTCAAATTTATGATTGAATTGGAGTCTAGTAGAGTAGGTAGTCATCTACCGAAGCCGACAAGGGGGCGGGCTTGGGAAAAGCAAAGAGGAATTAGAGGACTACTAGGTCCGAGGGATCTGGGGCAATGGTGCTCCTCTCCTTGATGTACCGGTTTGGCCACGGTACCAGAGATTGCGTGACAACTTATACAGTACACTGCGACGCCGCAACAACAGACCAAACGCGAAATGCAGCTACATAGAGAAGAGGGAACACAAACTATTAGCAAACGGACCAACATTTTCGTTCAGCTCGGGCTAGCGTCTGCGAGTCGATTGGTTGTGCAGCTTTACAGGCTCAAGCATTTGTGAAGAACGGTGCTGGCGAGGCGGTTCGATTCCTCCCTTTTCTTTCCAGATTCTTTTCACCATTTTTTATTCTCACTGTTTTGCGGTTCGACCACCTTCAACCACCTCCTTCGAGCGCTTGCGACCACCTTCAAGCACCACGGTTATGGGTCTCCATGAAAGGCTGAAGGTGGGATAAGTTAATTGCGGTTGCAAGGGGAAGCTGGATTGAGGCACCGCCTCAGGAACATGATTAAGTCAGCGGAAGCTGCGATACCTCGGCAGAAAGCAGATAGAAGAAGGATGACATGTTTGAGATTGCAGTTTTCTTTCAAGCTAGCCCTGACGACAACACCCGACTTCGTCGTGTGTTGCCGCCCAGTGCAGTCGTATCATTCCCTCATTGCAACCTTCTTTTTTATTCTAGCTAGCCCTGGTTTTTATTCTAGCTAGCCCTGGCGACAACACCCGACTTCGTCGTGTGTTGCCGCCCACTAACCATAATTTTACAGCTGTCATTCCCTTATGGAACTGTAACTTTTGTAGCTTGTGCTGGCTTATTGTGTTGAGTGCCCTTAAATTTGTAGAACCTTCAATTAATTTTCAGTTCGGTTGGCTTATGACTATCTCTATCCCTATATTTTGGCTTCACCGGAATAGGAAATAGTAATAAAGGGGTTGAGAACTCAGGCAGTTAACCTGCCGAGGTAATTCGTGCGTTTAGAGTAGGTGGATCTACGGTACGGAGTCATGGTGGCGAGAGTCGTACGGTCTAGCACCTAGCACCAGACAGCCTCAGCTGCCACTCTGGCAGTCCTTTTTGCTGGGTTCGCTCATTTTTTCAAACTGAAGAGGTTCTGCTGATCCCAGAAGGTAGAAGCTACTAGCTAGCATTAAAGCGAAGCCCTCGTCCACTGTACCATTCCGTAGTATCACATAAACCACAAGCAAAAACCATAGCATGAATGCCCTGGAAGACAATCGACGCCAACCAGGTCTCCGGCTGAAGCAGAGCGACAGTCTGGGAAAGGTCAAGAGGAACCGACAGTCACCCGCATCCCCCAAGTCGGTCATGGTCAATAGGGCTTACCATGCCAAAATGCAGGGCGAAGAAAAGGCCGCACAAGAACGACGAAAACGCCTGGATCTCTTGCACACACAGTATCAAGATTCCTCGCGTCGTGACGATGATGATGCTGATGATGATGTCAGTTTAGATGGATCTGTCTCATCAGTGTCCAGTTGGGTGGGTCGTAAGGGACGCAAGCTGTTTGGAAGCTCAACGCCCCCTTCCAGTCTCTGCTTGATGAATGACAGCACCATCCGATCTTCCTCTAAGCGAGGAGGGCTGGGGAGCATGTTTTCATCAAAGCCATTTGATAGCCGCAGAGAGGAAGATGACGGCGACCTGTCCAGATTGGGAGGGGACCATGATATCTGTAACATTAGCATCAGCATCAAGAAGGAAGTACCAAAGAAAAGTATGGAGTGCCACGACGACGATGAGGATGACGATGTGAGTTTGGATGGATCTGTCTCGTCAGTGTCCAGTTGGGTGGGGCGCAAGTTGTTTGGAAGCAGCAGCAAGTCCAATAAGGGATGTTCCAACAACAAAAGACATTCGGTTCCCTCTTCCAGTCTCCTCTTGATGAATGACAGCAGCACCCGATCTTCCTCCAAACGACAAGGACTGGGGAGCATGCTTTCATCAAAGCGATTTGACATTGATGGAGAGGATGATGATGACGACATGTCCAGTTTGGGAGGGGATGATGATATCTACTCCAGTCTCTTGGGGGGCTTTTCGGATGACGAGGACACGGATCTTGTCCGGGCGCAAGCACACAAGTCTGACAGGCACCTGGTTTGCAAACGAGAAAAGGTTCAGAAACTACCAAAGAAAAGCAAAGAGTCATCTAAGGGGAGATCTGGTAGCAGCAAGAGGGAAGGAAAGCCCACCAAGTCAAACACCTCTAGCAACAGAAAAAGTAAGCAGAGAAAGACCAGAAAGCCCAAGGCTGCTGATGATGACAAAAGGACCAGAAGGAAGGAAGCAAATGCTAGCAGTGGGGGTGGCAAAAGAACAAAGCCATCCCATAGGAGACACCCGCAGGATGGACAAAAGCAACCATCTTCAAGGCGACACCGTGGTGATTTGCCCCGCAAACACTGTGGTGATTCTCCTCGGAAACAACACTGCGACTCGCCTCGACGACGGAGACCCATGCGCAAGGCAAAATCCGTCGGAGAACATCCCACATCCCGTGCGGTTCCGTTACGTCGCACGGCCACAGCAGATGAAGCATTGTTGGCGGCTCGCCACAGGGCCAATCATCGTCGCGCACAACGATCCGGGGAACGGTCCCATGTCAGACGCAGTTCCCAGGCCGAGGAACCAGCCTTGCTAAGCATCATTCTATCTGAAGCTCGGACAACTGCTCTTGCCCAAGAAGGTCACCAACTTTCACGGCGAAGTCTCTTTCTGGGAGATACTCCCCCACCACGAGGTGCAGGACGAAGTTCTGTTGCAAGCGAAGCCACTAAAAGACGACGACATTCTACCATGACCCAAGAAAATGATGGTCCACCGCTGAGAAGCATCATCCTAGGAGAAACCAAGCTTCCGCCCAGACCTGCGAGACGAAACACCTTCATTGGGGCATCTCCCGCTCCCAGAGGACCTAAGGGTACCGGGCCCTTGCATTGTTTGAGCTCCTCGCTACATTAAGAGTCTCGGATTAAGTTATCACTGATGGATGCCGGCAAAGCCCCCAACAGATCCAGACGCCGGTAACGTTTGCCTCTTCGGCAACACACTCGATGGCTGCAGCAAGTAATGAAAAGTAGACATATTATGAATATTTAAAAAGGGATAGAATTGGTTTAACTTCAAAAGCAAGTCTGGAGGGAATTGTTGATAGCAGCAAAACAGAAAGGCGTTCAGCAATCCTTATGCAAGTAAAACATCAAAGCCAAGCTAAAACCAACCACTCCTGCCCCGACTCCAAAGACAGCCATGGATCTGGCAAAAGTAGTCTTTCTCTTTTGCTGCAGGTTTTCCTCGGCCAGTTGTGCCACAGCACGTTGGAGGCAACTTTGTGAGGCAGAGTTCTTTTTTGGAGGTGGTGGAGAAGGGCTGACGTCCTTGGGTGATGTGCGTTCGACGTCGTCGTCCTGAGCTCCCCCAAAAGCAATTGTGGTTCTCGTGCTGCCCGTTGGGGCGCTGACTGCTCCAGCCACATCGTCATCTGATAAATCAGAGTCGATTGTGGCAGCGTCTTCCTTGACAAGAAACGAGGATCTTGCCGACAACGATCTGCTGGATTCTTCGTCCATAATGTCCAACACGTGCAGCAATCGCCGAGTTCTCAAGTTCTTCAAAATGGCTTCACCGTCGCTGAGTAGCAACGAATTGTTGGGATTGCTGCCAGCGGGAGGGTCATTGTTGCTTGCCATGATGCTGACTGCCACCAATAGAGTTGTGAGCGGATTGCTGGAACAGGATGATTCGATCTGTGGACACACATCCACTGCATCCTAACAGTTACCGGTACCCAACTTTCCTCTCGTCTATCCTGGCGCCAGTTTCCAGAAACCGCGGTTCCCAAAGCCAGTGTATTGGTATCTAACCTGTACCGGTACATGTGGTCTGTACGTGTGGTCTGTCTTACAGTTCCACCCAAAACAAAGGTCTATGCTCCGTGAGACTGCGCCAACTCACACATACAATACAATCGAACTTAAGGTAAGACCGGAATCCTCTAACCTATGCTAATAGAGCCCACGAAACATATCTCCATCCCAGCACGCAGGTATCAAGAAAAATAAGTCTTCCACACACAATCCAACCGTATGAAACTAGCAATTGATACAAGGCCAACCGATCCTGGTGGCACGCAAAGAGCTGAATTACAGTCAGCCACATCCCTTTGTGCCGTTGCGTCCGCAGAGACTCACTCGATTCCCGCGAACTCCCACGGTGTGCCGGTATCCCGCGAGAATGAGTCAAGTCAAGTCTACTCACCACCCTTTAGAAATCCATCGACCTGCCAATGGGCAGGTCGATGGATGCCTACAAAGCCATTTTCTGTACGTGTATCCACCAACACAAGAGGAATCCTGACAAAGACATGAAGAGGAGCAAGCCGATCATGATGATGACTGTGGTCTGATGAAGCAAGGCCCGCCCGTGGCTGAATCCAGTCGAGATCTGAATTGGAGCAGCTGGTAAACGCTATGACTATAGTGCTACTGGTACGAGCCACGAGGAAGTGCTGGAAAAGTCAACCATGGGGCCCACCTCGTGTCTCCTCTGTGTCGCTTGCTGAATCTCTTTGGATCGCTCCTCTAGTCATCATTTACCTCGTGGCAGGACGTGAAGACAACATAACTCTCCTTCCCCGTTGCCTCCAATCAATGCACACTCACGTGTACACGAGTACCAATTTTGACTTGGTACTGGCGCTGGAGTTACTACTTTATCCGCATGCCCGAATCCACCCTGGAAATTGCGCGGTACGCGTCACGGCATCCCAAACCAAGGCTTATGGGTGGCTGCAAGCCCATCCCAACCATAGCACGCCCGATCGGCTCTTAGCAGCGATTCGTGGCCACCACCCTGTATTACTCTACTCACGGGGCTGATGGGCCAAGCAGAGTATCCTCCTTCGATTACAGATTGGTGCACTTTCTTCCCATTATGGACACACATGACAAAACGGTCCTCTTGGACTCACCGTCAAATCTGGGTTAGCTTGGGATGGACAGTTGGCTGCACCTGCAAACATATCTGTAGTCACAGCGGAGTTGGAAATAATGGGAGTAGCTCCATTGCCCCAGTCACACAAGTTCTGGTTAAGGGTACCCCATTCGAACATACTTTGGAAATTGGTACCTTTGGCAACATTCCTAGTACAGTGGTGGAAAAAAGAACAAGGTCAATGACAGGTGTTTCTTTGTTCCATGGCTTGACTCTTGGGACGGCAGTCACTTCTTCTTACCAACTACTCATATCGTAGTCGAACCAAACATTGTAGAACATATACTCAAAGTTTGTTCCAGAACTACAGGCAAAGAGAGATGCGGTGGAAAGATGGTACGCCGGATTTATGGTTAGCAACAGTCTTCAACAGTACAGTCATTATTATGAAATGACATACCTGACATCCCAACTGGAGCAGGGATGGTCCAACCAAGCTGAAACACAACAGACAAGTTTAGTGGAGGAAGCATGAAACAAGAGTTTGGCAGTGAGTATACAATGGCATCATCAGCTTACCATTGAAGAACATGTATCGAAAGTTTTGTACTCGGCTACGGCAAAGGAAAAGGTTGAGTGAAGTGAGACCTGGCTCTGGACAGCAATCAGTCTGGCGTAACTATGACAGTGAAAACTTCAAACGCACCCCACATCCCAATTGTTGATGTTTTGGTTGAACTTGCCGGCTCCATCTGTCCAGCACAACAAGCAAGAGTTTAACAAAAGAGGTTTAGCCAATGCAGAACCACACATACTTGTATACATAAACATTCTTGATCAGGTTGCTTACTATTCTGGAACATGCTATCCATGTCTGTTACTTTGCTGAGAAAGAACATGGCTGAGCATACTTGTGACCTGGAGGAATTCTGCCAGGCAATATCATCCAAAGCTTACCTAACATCCCAATTGTTGAGCGGCTGGTTGTACCCAGCTAAAACACAACGAGACCAAAACAATAGCAAAGTTTGAGCTGCGTCAACATCAGAGCAAATGAATACATCCATGATAAACATACAATCATAGAACATGTATTTCATACTGCTGACATTGCTGACATCCCAGTTGTCAATGCCAACATTGAAAAGTGCTGTTCCATAAAACATGTAGCCCTGCGGTGTGTAAAATAGCGGTCAAGGTAAGGCTCTATTACAGACAACTGCAATGGATCATTGGCGTAAGTCTTACCATGTCTGTAACTTTAGAAGTATCCCACCTAATAGTGAAAAAGATTCAATCCCAACAAGTAAGGTGAGGAAGAATGGGTTGCCAGAAAGCTTTCTGATCATGCAACACAACACATACTCACATAGATATGTCATAAGTCATGTCACACTCTGTGAACATGTCAAACATACATGTTCTCACTCGAACTTGAATCCCAGTTATTCAACGGCTGGTTGAACTTTGTGTCTGTAAACACGCTGATCATGTTGACCACTCTACTCACATCCCAGTTGTTAACCGGTCCGTTGAAAGCAGAAGCGTCTACGGTGTCCAAACAAAGAGCATAAAATGAGGACAACAATGTTGCCATCTGCTGCCAAAAGAAGGCCTCTTTGAAACTCACAACCAAATAAATCTTTAAGAGAAGTAACCTTGCTTGTGTCCCAACTGTTTAGTGGTTGGTTAAAAAGGATGGCAGCTGAAACAGAAGTTCAGGAATGATGAAAGTAGGAAGAATCAATCCTATAGGAAGAAAAACACTTCAAAGCCGATTTCTGATGCAAATTAAATGGTACTTACATTCAAATGTCGAGTCCATATCCACGACACTGCAAATATATATGATTAAAGGGCGTGATGTAGCACATACGATGAGCTTATCACATAACATCTCCACGGAGAAATTTATCCACAAACTGAATCAGCCACTGACCTGCTCGTATCCCAGCCATCCAATGGCTGATTGAATGCAGCTGCACCTGATCAATGAAGTTTTTCACCCAAGCAAACATTCAGGGTGTAAGAAGAGCATTACAGAGACCTTTTGGTCAATGTACACACGGTGAATGTCATACCCTGGAATGTCTGAACCAAGCTTGCGACGCTGCTAGTTATCCAGGCTTCAATGTTCTCATTGAACAAAGCCTTGCCATTGAACTGAGGAGCAAAGTTGGCTAAATTATAGTTTCAAACATTTATAATGACATACAAGGTGATGGCCAAAGACAGTACTTACCAGATCAGTAAAATCAGTAATACCAGAGACATCCTTTGGTTTAATTTCAGGATAGTAATCTGTCAGATAAAATCATCATACAAAATTCACTGAACTGAAGAATACCTTCAGACTTACCCATGTCGAAATTTCACCTGAGAGGAATAAACCATCAAGAACAAGAAAAATGGAAGCATTAGTGTTGATATTTGCAACTTTGTCTCAATCACCAGCTAAGGAACCTTTACCATAAGGAAACCTACCATAAGGACCTGAAGCAGAGTAGTCGTTGTTTCCTGGATTTCCATCCCCAATGGCTATGTCCAGGGTGGGCCTTGTAAATACAAAATCTGTTGGACCAATTGTTGGGGCAGGTGAAGGCATCTTGGTCGGTGCCGGTGCATTTGTTGGTGCCTTGGTTGTGCTTGTGGTGCCTTGGTTGGTGCCTTGGTTGGTGCCTTGGTAGGTGCTTTGTAGGTGCTTTTGTAGGTGCTTTGTAGGTGCCTTGGTTGGTGCTTGTGGTGCCTTGTCGGTGCTTTAGTGGTGCTTTGTGGTGCTTGTGGTGCCTTGGTTGGTGCTTGGTTGGTGCTTAGTCGGCACCTTAGTGGGCCTTGGTGGGTGCTTTAGTGGGTGCTTTCGTAGGAGCCTTGGTTGGTGCCTTGGTTGGTGCTTTAGTCGGCTTAGTGGGCCTTGTGGTGCTTTCGTCGGTGCTTTCGTAGTGCCTTGGTTGGTGCTTTAGTGGGTGCTTTAGGTGCTTTAGTGGGTGCTTTCGTAGGTGCTTTCGTAGGTGCCTTGGCTGGTGCCTTGGTTGGTGCTTTGTAGGGCCTTGTGGGCTTGGTGGGCCTTGGTTGGTGCTTTAGTTGGCGGTGCTTTAGTCGGTGCCTTGGTTGGTGCTTTAGTCGTGCTTTAGGGTGCTTGGTGGTGCTTGGGGTGTCGGGCTTTGGTGCTTTGTGGTGCCTTGGTCGTGCCTTGGTCGGTGCCTTGGTCGGTGCTTTAGTTGGTGCATTAGTTGGTGCCTTAGTCGGTGCTTTATTGGAGCTGCTGTCGGTGCCTTGGTGGGCGCTTTTGTAGGAGCCTTTGTGGGCACTATGGTAGGAGCTTTGGTTGGTCCTTTGGTTGGAGCTTTGTTGGGAGCCTTGCTAGGAGCTTGCTAGGAGCTTTGCTAGGAGCTTTGCTAGGAGCCTTGGTAGGAGCCTTGGTGGGCGCTTGTGTAGGGGCTTTTGAAGGTGCTTTCGTAGGTGGAGATGTTGGGAACCTTGTGGGTGTGTCGGTTGGGGATGTAGTTGGGGCAATGGTTGGTGCCTTGGTTGGGTTGCCTGGAGAGACAGTGGGTAGTGGTGTTGGGCTGTTTGTGGGTGTACTGGTTGGTTGAATCGTAGGGGTCCTTGTAGGTAGTTCAGCTGGAGCAATAGAGGGTTGTTTGGTTGGGGCTATAGTGGTGCTCTGCTAGGAGATGTGGTTGGAGCCTTGGTTGGAGGTGTTGTTGGTGCTTTGTGGCTTGTTGTGCTTGGTTGGGAGCGTAGGTGCTTGGTTGGTGCTCTGCTAGGAGACATAGTTGGAACTTGGGTGGGCTCCTTCGTTGGGCCTTTTGTTGGAGCCTCAGTTGGAGCTTTTGATGGTGCTTTGGTTGGGATTTTACTTGGCGCCCTGGTTGGGTTGCCGGGAGTAACAGTAGGTGCTCTGCTAGGAGATGTAGTTGGATCTTTGGCGGGCTCCTTCGTCGGGCCTTTTGTAGAGGCCTCAGTTGGAGGTGTTGTTGGGGCTCTGGTTGGGGTTTCACTTGTCGCCTTGGTTGGGTTGCCGGGAATAACAGTAGGTGCTTCGGTTGGTGCTCTACTAGGGGATGTAGTTGGAGCTTTGGTGGGCTCCTTCGTCGGGCCTTTTGTAGGGGCCTCAGTTGGAGGTGTTGTTGGTGCTTTGGTTGGGTTTCACTTGTCGCCTTGGTTGGGTAGCCGGGAGTAACAGTAGGTGCTTCGGTTGGTGCTCTGCTAGAAGATGTAGTTGGAGCTTTGGTGGGGTCCTTCGTTGGGCCTTTTGTAGGCCCCTCAGTTGGGCTCTTGAGAGTCGGGGTTGAAGTACTGGGTTTTAGGGTAGCTGCCAAGGCAGTTGATGGAATTATGCTTGCAGAAGGACTTGCAGATAGACCAGGTGAGCTTGCAGACGGGCTTGGGCTCAAAAATGGATTTGTGGATGGAATGCAATTCAAGGAATCCAAAACAGCGACTGCGTTGGCTCCGCTGGATGATACTGCCGACGTGACTGCCTGAACAAACTGGGGGCTGTTGGCATCATCGAGCAAAGCAGTGGAAATACTTCTGGGACTGCTGCTCACTTCAAACTGAACCGCTACCCCTTCCTCCAAAGGAATTGGCTCCCCAACCACAGAAACTCCCGAAATCACCGGTTCTCCTCCAGGGCCAAGGACACATATGCATCTGTGAAGGCCAAACTGAGGTCGTGACTGTCCAGCAGCCCATCGGTTGACCATCAAAGGTGACAAAGAAGGTGTCCGTTGCAAGGATGCCTCCAAGGATTCCAAAACACGACTGCGTTGGCTCCGCTGGTGATACTGCCGACGTGACTGCCTGAACAACTGGGGGCTGTTGGCATCATCGAGCAAAGCAGTGGAAATACTGCTGGGACTGCTGCTCACTTCAAACTGAACCGCCACCCCTTCCTCCAAAGGAAATTGTGCCCCAACCACAGAAACTCCCGAAATCACCGGTTCTCCCTCCAGGGCCAAGGACACATAGCATCTGTGAAGGCCAAACTGAGGTCGTGACTGTTTAGCAGCCCATTGGTTGACCCACCAAAGGTGACAAAGAAGGTATCCGTTGCAAGGATTCCGTCCAAGGAATCCAAAACATCCACTGCGTTGGCTCCGCTGGATGATACTGCCGACGTGACTGCCTGAACAAACTGGGGGCTGTTGGCATCATCGAGCAAAGCAGTGGAAATACTGCTGGACTGCTGCTCACTTCAAACTGCACCGCCACCCCTTCCTCCAAAGGAATTGGCGCCCCAACCACAGAAACTCTCGAAATCACCGGTTCTCCTCCAGGGCCAAGGACACATAGCATCTGTGAAGGCCAAACTGAGGTCGTGACTGTCCAGCAGCCATCGGTTGACCCATCAAAGGTGACAAAGAAGGTATCCGTTGCAAGGATTCCGTCCAAGGATTCCAAAACACGACTGCGTTGGCTCCGCTGGATGATATGCCGAGTGACTGCCTGAACAAACTGGGGGCTGTTGGCATCATCGAGCAAAGCAGTGGAAATACTGCTGGGACTGCTGCTCATCAAACTGACCGCCACCCCTTCCTCCAAAGGAATTGTGCCCCAACCACAGAAACTCCCGAAATCACGGTTCTCCCTCCAGGGCCAAGGACACATAGGCATCTGTGAAGGCCAAACTGAGGTCGTGACTGTCTAGCAGCCCATTGGTTGACCCATCAAAGGTGACAAAGAAGGTATCCGTTGCAAGGATTCCGTCCAAGGAATCCAAAACATCCACTGCGTTGGCTCCGCTGGATGATACTGCCGACGTGACTGCCTGAACAAACTGGGGGCTGTTGGCATCATCGAGCAAAGCAGTGGAAATACTGCTGGGACTGCTGCTCACTTCAAACTGCACCGCCACCCCTTCCTCCAAAGGAATTGGCGCCCCAACCACAGAAACTCCCGAAATCACCGGTTCTCCTCCAGGGCCAAGGACACATAGGCATCTGTGAAGGCCAAACTGAGGTCGTGACTGTCCAGCAGCCCATCGGTTGACCCATCAAAGGTGACAAAGAAGGTATCCGTTGCAAGGATTCCGTCCAAGGATTCCAAAACAGCGACTGCGTTGGCTCCGCTGGATGATACTGCCGACGTGACTGCCTGAACAAACTGGGGGCTGTTGGCATCATCGAGCAAAGCAGTGGAAATACTGCTGGGACTGCTGCTCACTTCAAACTGAACCGCCACCCCTTCCTCCAAAGAATTGGCTCCCCAACCACAGAAACTCCCGAAATCACCGGTTCTCCTCCAGGGCCAAGGACACATAGGCATCTGTGAAGGCCAAACTGAGGTCGTGACTGTCCAGCAGCCCATCGGTTGACCATCAAAGGTGACAAAGAAGGTGTCCGTTGCAAGGATCCGTCCAAGGATTCCAAAACACGACTGCGTTGGCTCCCTGGATGATACTGCCGACGTGACTGCCTGAACAAACTGGGGGCTGTGGCATCATCGAGCAAAGCAGTGAAATACTGCTGGGACTGCTGCTCACTTCAAACTGAACCGCCACCCCTTCCTCCAAAGGAATTGGCTCCCCAACCACAGAAACTCCCGAAATCACCGGTTCTCCCTCCAGGGCCAAGGACACATAGGCATTTGTGAAGGCCAAAGTGAGGTCGTGACTGTCCAGCAGCCCATTGGTTGACCCACAAAGGTGACAAAGAAGGTTCCGTTGAAGGATTCCGTCCAAGGAATCCAAAACATCCACTGCGTTGGCTCCGCTGGATGATACTGCCGACGTGACTGCCTGAACAAACTGGGGGCTGTTGGCATCATCGAGCAAAGCAGTGGAAATACTGCTGGGACTGCTGCTCACTTCAAACTGAACCGCCACCCCTTCCTTCAAAGGAATTGGCTCCCCAACCACAGAAACTCCCGAAATCATCGGTTCTCCCTCCAGGGCCAAGGACACATAGCATCTGTGAAGGCCAAACTGAGGTCGTGACTTCCAGCAGCCCATCGGATGACCCATCAAAGGTGACAAAGAAGGTATCCGTGGCAATGATAGTTGGTGCATGGGTTGGTTCGTTGGTTGGCTCTGGACTAGGTTCGTTGGTTGGCTCGGGACTAGGTTCGTTGGTTGGCTCAGGGGATGGCTCTGTCGTTGGTTCTTGGGTTGGTTTGACCGTGGGGTCATGAGATGTAGCAGCCCCAGGAAGCGGTAATACAGTGGGAGCTTCTGATTTTTCCTGACTTGAAAATGACTTTAGTTCTTCTATCATAGAGGGTGATATGCTTTGCTTTTTAGCTTGTGATAGAACAGTGGGCTTCCTTGATATCGAAATGGTGGTTCTACCCGAGGGAGAATGTGATACATCCATAGTTGAGGGTTTGTGGGCTGCAAATACCAACAGGCCTTCAGCTGTCTTGGTGGACAGCATCATAGAGGGTGCATTGGGTGAAATCACACTGGGATTCAGAGAGCTGGATGAAATAGGTGAAGGATTTGACTGTCCTGATGGTGCCACTTGGTTGCTGGGATTAGATGGTTGGCCCGCAGATATCAAAGGGCTTTGATCAACAGCTGTTGAGACAACGGGAAAGCTTCCAACAGGATCTCCAGAAGGGCCTGTTGCTGCAACAGGAGGGCCCGTTTGGGAATGAGCTGTTGGGGAAGCAACACTGGGTGTTCTGGGTATGCTTCTAGATGGTGCAGCAGGGCTGTTGTTGATGCTGCTGGGCATGGCAATGTTGTTATTGGATGGTGAATTGGTGCCCACTGCTGTTGCTGCTGGTTCCCCAAGTGTGGCTCCAATGACAGTGGGAGCAGCGGGCTGCCTATTACCACCATTCACGATACCTGAAGGTGCTACAGGCGAACCTTGGGTATCAGGGAGAGGCAGGCTAGTGGCTGGGTCTGAACCTGATGAAATGATTGAAGGAAGTTGCCCTAACGTGGGTCCAACAACAGTAGGAGAGAGTCCGGTGAAGGATGATGATGGCGTTTGGTCGTTACCGTTTCCCACTGTTGGCAATGGGTTGTTGCTGTTGTTGCTAGTGGAAGGCATCTCCTTGTTACTGGTCGATGGTGATGGAGCTTGGTTGTTTTCAGTGTTCGTGTCTGTATTCGATGGTGCCTGATTATTTACTGTAGCGTTGGTGGGCCGGCCATCGGCATTGGTATCTGCTGGATCTGCCTGCAGTTCATTGTCTCGATCCGCAGTGTTTTCAGGAGGAACCAGGTTGGTATTTGGGATCACATTTGACTTTGATGGGACTTCCATTTTTTGTGGCATGGTGCCTTGGCTATCCACAATGACATCTGGGTTGTTTGGATCTACAGCATCAATATAGACAATGGGAGTGCTCCTTGTCTCGGGTGGTGTAGATATGGTAGTTGGGCCAGCTGCGTTTTTGGTAGAGTTGTCCACAGTTGAAGCAACTTCCGGAGCGAATCGAGTCACAAACTCATCGAATCTGTTGTTGACATCAGTGTCATTTGGTGGGTCGCCCTCGTTAAAAAGGGGGTTATCATCTGGGCAGCCATTGCAACTGACCTTTGATTCCCAGACTGTCAGAGTCAGGGGTATGTCTCCATCAGTGACATTCTCTACCTCAAGTAATTCACTTCCCAACAAGTGGCGCTCATACTCGTCATCACAAGGATCAGTCATGTTATTGTAGGCATCTCGGAAGGCCTGTTCTAGCTCATCTTTGTTGGCATTGACTTCCACTGACGTCACATTCTGCATTACAAGACGGGTAATGCCTGTTCTGACATCATAGTCCTCAAGGGAGGAGTCATTACACAGAGGTCTCGAGTAGATATCAGTGGGAGGACCTACTGTGGGATTCCGAGACATTAATGCTGCCGCCGTAATAGCTATACCAGCTGCCAAAGCTGCAGCATAGCTGGTTGTCATGGTTGAGGACTGTTTGGTAGCCGCCACCTGTATGGCTCCAGTCCCAGCCACGACATTGGCATTTGCTGCCTGTGCGGCTTTCACGGACATTGCCTTGTAGACAGTAGGGTACTCCTTCTTTTCATCCTCTGGATCCTCCAAACCAAACCACCGTTTACAGCCCAACAGACCCAAGAGATAACTAATAGCAAGACGTGGCCATTTGAAGAGCCACCAGCAACCATCATAGAGAAATTGCGTAACCAGCTCGTACAATGCGTATTGGGCCATGTTCTGCCCAAGTTGATTTTCCAGAGTGTCATAATCGATTGACTCCGGACCCACACTGTTGGATTCCACTTCCTCTACGCTTTCCATGGCATCTTCCAGCTGTAGCTGCACTGACTTGAAATTCGTTGGATCCTGCATGAGGGCCATATCCATCAATGAGTGCCGGGGAAGGTTGGGGCCACCGTCGTCCAAAAAAGCCTCGGATAGCATTCGAGCATCTCCGTTTCGTCGCATGGACCCTTGGGCATTCATCATGCTGTCTTCGTTGAGGGAATAGGGCAGGTTTGGCTGACTCAATGTGCTCTCGGCAGCCGGGCTCATCGTGTCGATTTCGGGTTCTTCAGGGGCACTGGGAGCATCTGGAGAGTCCAAGAAGGTTTCCTCCTCGTTGTTCGTCGTCATGATTCTAGAATTTAACATGGAATCACACGGCTGTGAAGTTAGTATTACGTTCGTATTCACTGTTGTGCTGCGCCATACAGGGCAGACCAACACAAGCTCCAATTGACCGAATCGAATGATCAATCGACGTACCAATATTGCCCAATTTGAGCTCTAATAATAGCTACGATTCAGAAACAGGCCAAAGAGAGCAAAAGCGTAAAACAAAAGAAGAAGAATGAGGCCAAGCTTACGGTTAGACACAATCGTCGGGCATCGAGTATCAACTCCGAACACCCAACAGATTGCCGTTTTCTCATGCCCACCTTCTTGTTGCTGGTCGACCACTACAGAAAAATGCGTCGATTGTACCGTATTGACAGGATGTCTGCGCAGGCAGCTCGAAATCAAGTTTAGTTGTTCTAACCTGGGTCTCACCGTCAACGTTGCATGGATTGTTGGACTTGTGAGATTCTTGTACCGGTATGTTGCGCAAGAAAGATCGAACTGTGGTGAAAGAGACGATGGAGTGGCCTGATTTTGGTTGCGTCGCTGCGACATAAATACTTTGCTACTCGTAGCTGTCTTTTTTACATCTCTGGGTTCTTAATGACCCACCCTCTTATTACTAGTAATATCTATCTCTCAACATCAAAACCGGAGATTGTCCCCTTATTAAGTTCGTTGTTGAACTTGAAGTGAGGTAGGCCACTTTTGTAGCGGGATACTCCGTAGGCTATTAATTAATAGTGGACATTGTACCAGCCTCTTTTTCGTTGATTCTTATCACTACCGTAAAAGAGTACTCAGTATCAATAAATAATTAGTAGAACTTCCTTAAGAATTAGGATTTAAGAAGAGAGGTGGAACTGGTTACTGGTCAATGGTCAAGGGGAAGTTTTAGAAATAAGCAAATAAATGTCCAAGAGCCATGGATCAAGTTGGATGCTTGAACCTCTGTTCCTACGCATACGGTACATGACCTCGGCAGGTAAACTGCCTGAGTTCTCAACCCCTTTACCTCGGCAGGTAAACTGCCTGAGTTCTCAACCCCTTTAATGCTATTTCCTATTTCCTATTTCCTATATCCTATTTCCTATTTCCTATTCCGGTGAAGCCAAAGTATAAGGATAGAGATAGTCATGTCATAAGCCAACAAAACTGAACATTGATGGTTCAATACAAGTTAGGGTAGGAATAAATCATTAATATTTAAGGTTAGTGCAATCATCACAACAGCACAATATGCCAGCAGGAGCTGTAAAGGTTAGAGTTACAATAAGGGAATGGCAGCTGGTAAATTATAGAGTAGCGGGCGGCAACACACGACGTAGTCGGGTGTTGTCGCCGGGGCTAGCTTAATAAAAAGAAGGTTGCAATGAGGGAATGAATGATACCGGGCGGCAACACACGACGTAGTCGGGTGTTGTCGCCAGGGCTAGCTTGAAAGATGGGTGCAATCCGAACATGATCCTCCTTCTTCTATCTGTCTTTCTGTCGAGGTATCGCAGCTTCCGCTGACTTAAATGCTATTTCCTATTTCCTTTTCCGGTGAAGCCAAAGTATAAGGATAGAGATAGTTATAAGCCAACAAAACTGAACATTGATGGTTCAATACAAGTTAGGGGTCGGAATAAATCATTAATATTTAAGGTTAGTGCAATCAGCACAACAGCACAATAAACCAGCAGGAGCTGTAAAGGTTAGAGTTACAATAAGGGAATGGCAGCTGGTAAATTATAGAGTAGCGGGCGGCAACACACGACGTAGTCGGGTGTTGTCGCCAGGGCTAGCTTAATAAAAAGAAGGTTGCAATGAGGGAATGAATCATACCGGGCGGCAACGCACGACGTAGTCGGGTGTTGTCGCCAGGGCTGGCTTGAAAGATGGGTGCAATCTCGAACATGATCCTCCTTCTTCTATCTGTCTTTCTGCCGAGGTATCGCAGCTCCCGCTGCCTTAATTGAGGGTTGAATCACACTTCGAAAGTTAATCACACTTCTTCGTTCAAAAGAGCACTTTCTCCTTTCTCATTTGCTCCTGAGCTCCTGAGGAGTATCATAGTGACTGGCGGTAGCTACATACGTGTACCGGTGTATCGCTATTCATTCGATTCCGGCGCATTCGCGGCTGGATCTCTCCCATCCCATTCCCAATTTTAGTACCATCGTAGGTCCTGCTTTGTTGTGAGGGACGGTCACTGAACAGTCCTGACCCAAATCCGATCTCCACACAAAAAAGATAGCTAAACAAAAGCTACTCCCAGCACATTCTGAAAATACCGATAACCCTAGCTAGCTAGCAACGAAACAATGAGCTCTTCTTCAAGCTTCGACGAAACGAACATCGTGGTCCACCTCCACCACCCCGAAGAACACAAATTGCCCTCTGTGAGATTTGATATGATTACTTTTGTTGGAGTCATGGTGTGTGTCGTCATTGCAAGTGCAATTCTTGTGGCGTCCATTATTTGGTGTTCAAGGAAGCAAGAGAAAGCTGCAGCGAAGCTTAAAGAAGGTAAGGGCGGTCGTGTTGCGGTTGGGATTTTATTCGTCATCCCAATATTTGTATACTCATGAAGTTCACACTTACTTGTTGTTTTAGCTAAGAAACAAAAGAGTCTTGATATCCTCAAAGGCAACTTGGACTGCAAACCATGGTGCCCCAATGATGACTACGATGCAACTGAGAGCTCGGACGAAATGACATCTTCTCCCTCTTGCAGATCTTCTATTGCATGCCTCGAGTCCAGTGTGTCTTCCTCGTCTTCTTTGGAATCTGTTAATGTAGAGGATGATGAGGAGATGCAAATGCAGGTGGTAACAATGAATGGAGACGAACTAGACATCAACCAGACTCCTTCTTTGAAGCATCACCAGGATAGTTCCTGCTGCCCCATTTGCAATGAGAAGTACCAGGTTGGGCAACCTGTCTATGAATCAAACAATCCTCAGTGTGGACATCAAGCCCACAAAGTGTGCATGGAGAAGAGGCTGGAACGTCGGAATTCATGCCCTCTTTGCGTACAACCGTTTGTCTTGAGAACAGTTTAAAATATTTTGCCCTTGAGACAATCCTTTGGCCTACGTCCCCTTCCAGCCTCCAGAGCCTTCCTCCTCATTGACCACAAAGCCTCCAGTTTCTCCAACCTCCTATTGAAAGAAGCAACGCCCCTCATCTCAAGCCGTCCTTCGGCATTCCGTGTCTCATCCCTCTACAGGCCTCAAAAATACTGAGGGCCTCTTCAATTTTAAAAAATTTCATCCTTGCATCTTACGCTGGCTTATTTAGAATCCGTTGCATCGAACTTCGAACACCCTCCACCGTCCCTCTCATGCATCCATCTTCCATCCATCAATGCATTGGACCGTGGACTTGTCACTCTTGTCTTGGGCTGATTAACTGTTTGCTTCTTTGATGCTGTAGTAGAGAAGCAGAGAGCCACACGGTTGGTACAATGGACGCAAGCACAGATGAAGCCAACGAGAAGACAACGGCGACAACAACTCAGACTAGTGCTGCCACTACAAATATTGCAGTTGTGGACTCGTCCACGGCCACAAACGCAGAGACGCATGACAACGCCGAGACGAAGGAGCATGACGACGTGAAGGACGAACACGCTTCCGAGGATGTCGTGGATGCTGAAGCAAAATCTGACGCTTCATTGAGCAAGAACCAATCAGCAGCAACACCCAAAGATAACAAAAAGGGAGACGCAGTAAAAACCGCCAGGAGAAGCCCCAAAAAGACAACCAAGGCCACCAAGCACATCAAAACAAAAGTGGTGAAAAAGGCGACCACAACCAAGAAACGCAAGGAAGTCACCACAAAGGATGACAAGAACGCTGGGAAATCAAAACGTACCAACAAAAAGGCCAAGACAGAAGACAAGGACAATAAGAAGACCAGAGGGAAGAAGACAACGAAGAAAGATGGCAAAGGAGAACCATTATCTGAAAAAGCAAAGAATTCACCGAAGAAGAAGAACCTTGCAGCAACGAAAAAAGACGAAGCGACAACCAAACAAACCAAGGGCACAAAGACAACCAAGAAACGAAAAACATCCAAGAAGGATGCCACAGCTGCTGGAGCCCCCAAAAGGAAAAGAAGGAAAAAGGGGGATGTATCAGCAGAAGTAGAAACAGAAACCTTGGCACCAGTAGAGCCTCCACCTCCGCCACCACCACCCAAAAAGCCACGTGTTGATCCCTTCCCAATTGCCAAAAACCTCTTGACAGAAGTGGAATTTGCCCTGCTGGGTGTACAAAATGACATGGACACTGCCAGAGAGCTTCTCGAACAGCATCACCCACCAACCATTATGGCCAATCAGCAGAAACAACAACAGCAGCAGCAAGGCTCTGGTAATCCAATCAACACTGGAGGCTCTTCCCTGGACAATCCAATCGTCGGTGCAAAATCTGGAACGGCGGGCCATTCCAACACCAATCATCAAGTGGTTGTCACCGGTGACCTCATGGTGGATCGCTTGTTGGAGTATCAAAGGAATTATGCACAGCGGCAGCGAGTACTTTTGCCGGAAGGAAAGGGCAGTGATAGGTGGGACAAGCCTAGGTTACCAGGGCAACGTCGACGACGCATTCATCGAGAGGCTGACCGACCAGAGGCACCTCCTGAACCACCTCCGGTCGGATACACTGTATTTGTCGGACAAATGACCACCAAGATCCGTCACGATCGACCGGATCAGCACCATTCTCAACCCAGAGTCATGCAGGAGATTGCCAAGATGTGGAAGGAAGATATGACCGATACCGATCGACAGTATTACATTGATTTTGCCACGGCCGCAAAAGCAGAGTATGTCCAGCAACAAATGGAATTTCGAGCCACTTCTACGTATACCAAGTCGACAACCTTCCTTCGGCTGGGCGACCACGGACCATGGATCAAGAATGATGCAGCCGAACGCAATTCATTGGAAAAGGAAGTGTCGACCTATGATACAGTAGAGTTTCCGCTTCGGCCTGCTTGCATGGACGAAGAGTACGCCTGGAGGGACTGGCGATCAAAAATCAACCGAAAGCTCAAGTTACGAAAACTTATTGCTGATTACAATGATACACAAGAGCAGCTGATTGTTGCCCAAGCCATTGATCATGCCAAAGCCACCTTGATGGATGCTGCAGGGCTTTCTCTGTCAGAAGTGGATCATAGTGCCATATTATCCGCTGCCACGCATGAATGCATTGTGAAATTGAAAGAGCTCAAAGAGGCAAACCGCATGGCCTCATCTGCACCGCCACCGGCAGAAGCAGACGATGTGGGAGAGAAGGAAGACGCCGATGCGGAGGTTTTTACCGACGCTGAAGAGTAGTATCAACAGCAGAAGTGGGCTCCTTCCCAGTGAAGGCGACCTTAGCAGCACTAGCTAGACTGAAACGATGCAAGAACTTATCAACAGTACACAGCGGCGCCTTTAGACTAGTATACCATATACCTAAGTGTGTACTGGTAGGCTAAGCAGCCTCTTGGAACGCTGGCTTGTCAGCATCGGCCAAGCTGATCCAATAGTTGAGCGCTTCGGATCGTTTCTCTTGCAGATCCTCCACTCCTTGGTACGTGATGACTTTACGAGTTTTGCCGGACAGGACTAAAACGGAGGGCAATCCACCGATTCGGGAATCCATGCCGAGAGAAGGTAGTTCTTTCTTGCCCGCAACCTTGAAATACTTTTTCAGTGCAGCTCTTTCTTTGAATTCTTCGAACGGAACCGTCATCCAATTCTTGCGAGCATATGAATTCATATCCTCGGCGGAGTTATCGGAAGACACATAAACCAGAGACAAGGGATGTGGTTGACTGCCTCGGTTGCTGCCTTTGGGAGGCAGCAACATTTCTCCAAAGACAGCATCCAGCATTTCGGTCATGGGAGTACTTGCTGGACACCATGAAGCTGTTTGCAGATGGACGCGTGAAAAGAGTGAGGAACAGGCTCACGAGTCTCAAGAACAAAGGCATGGAATGAATCGAATCGCCAAACTGAAACACTCTTACCAGCAAAGTAGAGGAGAACCACATCGGAGTGATCTAATGCATTCTGTAAGCTCGGAAACTCAGAGTACGGCACCAGCGTAGCATGCCCGTCAGAAACCAACTGTAGCAGTGAACGGGGATCTTCTTGGGGCACCAATGGCAGCTGCCGGGGTTTCCTCCTCATCTCTCTCCGAGCATAAGAAAGAAGGGCCTCCACATTGCGGTTTCCTGCGTAGTCGTTGCGGATTTCGCCGTCTGTGAACCAACGGAGGGTAGGATAGGCTATGATTTGATTCTTCCTGCATAGGGACGGCTCTTCCTCACAGTCAACATGAACAACTTCCAAATCCCCAAAATGATGCCGCTGCGCAAACCGAGTCCAATCTGGAGCCAACCGCTGACACCACGAACACCAACTCGTATCAAAGTTGACAAAAACGTGCTTGTGTTGGGCCACGAAATCATCAAAGGTCTCGCTGGCAAGCTTTGGAACACTGGATTCAACACTAGTAATTGGTACAATGTCTTCACCTGGGTGGTCGTTCGATGGGTATCTTGAGGAAACATACCCCACCCTCACGTACTGGACTTCCCAAAGGGGCGTGAACCCAACCGACAATATGTAGAAGAGGGCACAGAGAAGCACAACAAACAGAGACAGACGAGTTCTCGCCAAAAGCTCTTCGTGCCTTTCGCGAGTTTCTTGCTCTGAATCCTGCAAGTCTTCTTCTTCGTCGGAAGCATACAAATCGTTCGAAATTCTTCGGCGACGGGGTCCATCGACGACAGGGATCCCAGTGAAAACTCCGCCGTCCTCTTGTAGAGGGATGCCAGTGAATACGTCGCCTTCCTGATCTGAGGGTAGCCGGCTGCTGTCTTCGATCATCTTCACCAATGATTATTCCCTTTCTCTACTCGGTGCGTTGAAAGGTTGGACGGTGGTACCAGTAGAAACAATTGACACAATTGAGCAAAGAATGAGTTACCTTGTGACGATGGACGATGGTCGATGGTCGATGGAGGTTGTTCTGTTTGCGATTTGGGACGTCCCAGAGACCATCAGTCGTGTTCACGACAGAAATCGGATCTTTGCCTATAATATGTTTACAGCTCTGCTAGCTATCGGTACTATCACAACTGTATCTAAAGCTCTATCCCTAATCAAGTGTCTAACCCTAAGCTTAAGCCTACCTTTGCTTCCTGAACCTGTTTCGCATCCTCACACACCGACACCTACCTCCAAGGCACTCTTTGTCCGCAACACTCTCAGAAGGAGAGCCTTGTTGTTGAGAGAAGGCGCAGTTTTCGAGACGAGAGAGGAGATCCTCAGTCCTGACCTCGATCAAACGGAGAGATACGGAAATCTGTGAGGCCAGCGGTGTGATTACAAAGAAAACAACGACCTCATCCAACACGCCTCTGCGTCGTCCATTCCGTGCCCCTGATTGGTGTACTTTCGCCCCCCGTCGTCTGTGACCATGACGAAAAAGAAAGCGGACGCCAAACTGTCTTCAAGGATGCATACTCGGAGCAAGAGCTTGGCCGCCAGTGCCACTACTACCAGTAGTAAGAAAGATATCCCCAAAGCCAAAGGCAAGCGGAACAAGTCACCGGATGATTATTCGACGTCACCCATCAAGAATCCTACCAAGCGCAGTTGTCCGTCACCGAGCATCAAAACAGCCGCCAAGCAAGCAAAAACCGCGACGAGCAACAACGTCAACAAAGCAGGACCGCCGTTTCCATTGTATCGAGATGTCAGCAAAGCCACGGTTGCCGAAGGCATAGATTCCATCGTGAATTTACTGAGAGGCCGCAAGAATATTGTAGTGCTGAATGGGGCAGGAATTAGTGTCAGCTGTGGAATTCCCGATTTTCGATCTCGAGGAAGTGGGCTCTACTCGACATTGGACCCAGAGGTATGTACTTGTACTTTTTCCATCTGGCTAGCTACTAGTAGCAGCTGATGATGAATGACACTCGACGTTAGACTCGACTTGACTCGGAATCATTCCCTGATGCGTCTTTGCGTGTGTGTTGCTGTGCAGGATATTGGCCTCTCCTGCCCTGAAGAGCTCTTTGATTGGGAAGTCTTTCGAGAAGATCCACGTCCTTTTTACAAGTTTGCTCGAAATTTGTATTTTCCTCTTGGTAGTGGGGAGAATGCACAACGTGTCCGACCGAGTGACAGCCACAAGCTATTGGCCATGTTGGAGCAAAAGAAGATGCTGCTGAGAGTGTAAGTCATGTGCTCCCGCTCTTTCGGGCACGACCATGTTACAGTCGATTTGACACTTGAGCCTTCACTATTATATATTTGTGGCACAGTTACAGCCAGAACATTGACGGACTAGAACAGGTCGCGGGTGTGTCACCAAAGAAAATGGTCTATGCACACGGATCCCTTCAGTGGGCTAGCTGTCTCCGGTGCAAGACCAAAGTGACAGCCAAGGAGATTGAGCCTGCAATTCTGAAACGAACAGTGCCGTTTTGTCAAGAGCCAGTGCAAGGCAAAGGGGCTGGTGGAGCTGCCAACAGAGCGGCTTCGCCGCCTCAGCTTCAGCCTTCTCGAACCCGAAAGCGGCCCCGAGGAGACTCCGGAGTGAAAGTGCAGCCATTCCAGGACGAAGGCAATCCGTTTACGTGTGGTGGTGTCTTGAAGCCAGGAGTGACGTTCTTTGGCGAGGCGCTGAATGATACGGTCCGAAAAAGCCTCGAATCCGATCGAAAGAAAGTAGATGCTCTTATTGTCATTGGCACGTCGCTTTCTGTGTAAGTATCCGATGTGTGTTTGCGTGCATGTTTTCGGTTGGAATCAGCTCCCAGCTAACTGATCGATTTGATTCTGCTCTCTCGCATTGTTTCAGTGCCCCGATGTCCAAGGTGATTGGCTACATGCCCGCCAATATTCCTCGCATCTTGATCAACCGGACCATTGTTCATCCAAAGTCCAGCAATAGCGAGACTGAGAATTTGGGGAAACACGGGTCTGGTAGTGACGATGCTGACAAAGACTTTCGGGATGCCTATGTCTTTGACGCTTACATGTTGGGATACTGTGATGATGTCACGCGCCTTCTGGCGAAGCGACTGTTTTCCGCCGATGTCTCCGATATGGACGAAACAAATAAGCAATCATGCGAAATCTTGTCTCGTGTTCGGGAGCGTGCTGCTCTCAAGAACGGCGACGACGACATCGACAATCCAACAGCCACGGCCGGCCCTGACGATGAAGAAGATGAGGAACTAGAAGCGCACAAAGCAGAGGACTGGAGCTTCTGCACAGTTCCAGAGGATCGCGTGGTGCTGTTCCCAGGAGCAGATCCGTCCAAGGGCGGATATGGGGACGATGGCGATGAAGACGACAACAACTCGGATGTGACCTTTCGGGAGGTCGCACATTGCGATGGGTGCACCAAGCGTATCGAGGGAACCATTCATAAGTGTGAGGAATGCTTTGACTATGATCTCTGTCAGAAATGCTTTCCAAAGCTAAGCCGGACTCATTACAAAGGCGAACACACGTTTGCAGCGGAACCCGCAGCAGTGGTAGATCTATGAGAGGAGTCGCTTTCAACAACCTGCCGACATACCTGTTCCCGGTGCTATGGTACTCAGCCACCTTCTGGGGTTTGCATGAGTAGGGTTGGTGTGGCTATCGAGTGTCGATCAGAGACGGTGGGTAAAGTTGAGAAACTTGGGTCGCCCTTTGGATTTATAGCTTTACCGCTGATGCTGTTGTTGACCAAGTGTGGCTTTTTCATTGTATGGCTGGCTGTCAATGACTTGTAGCTTTGTTGTACGTCACACAATCTACTCGTAACCCCACTAGCGGACATAACCACAGCTCTCCAATGCTTCGCTGGAGACATCACTGCCTACTATTAGGTGTCAACCTATGATGCTGCTCTCAAAGCATCGGGTATCAGGCCATGCCCAACTCTCAGATCGCTCCTGATCTTTCCACCACCTTCCAACGTGAGAGTGTAATCAATCAAACCTGATCCTTCTGGCACCCTCAACATGACAAAGTGTGATGTGTGTTCTATACTTTTATGACAATGAGGATTCTTCAGTAGCTGCCGGTACTACTAGCTACTATGAGACGTTGCATAGAGGTTGTACTGCCCATGGCAGAAGAAAGATCGGGGGAGTTTGCCTATGAGTTGAGGCCAACTAGGACTCCACAAGGTGCAATGTTTGGTCGTTTCCTTCCTATCCTCTGTGAATGATCCACGAGAACCCGTTTCTTGGAGGACGACGAGGCCAACACGGCCTCCTTGTTGTTGTGTTTGCTCGAGCTGATAATAAAACTACCGTTGAGGCGCCGACTGTCATCCTGATCTCGCAGAGCAATCTGGTGAGCCCTGTCGCGGGCATACTCGCTGTACTTCTCGGCCACACCTCGCAGCATCACGTCGTCGTCGCGAGTGTCGGCCAAGTCCACTCGTAACCGTCTTGTTTGCTTGATGCGTCTTTGGGCCTCCAGGACAGTCCGAGCATAGTGTCTTTGAAGGTCCTTTCTCACTTTAGAGAGGAATATCTCCAAGCCTCTAGTCTCGTGCTGTGATGATTGACAACCTTTCCGGTCTTTCTCAGAGTCAACCAACGCATGAATGCCCTTGCGTATAGCTCTGAGCTCCTTGGAGGTATACCAGCCGAATGATGATCCGGATGATGCCGCTAGAGGAGAAGACGATTGATGGCTGTCTCCTTGGGCAGTGCTGCGGGGTATCACTGCCACCAGAGGTGCTGCGAATTGGACTCGTTTCTCCATCTTGGCTCGGACGCCAGGAGGTATGTGATCCATGGTGTTATTGGTATACGACCTGATGAGCTGACCAGTAAATGGATGACACTGACAGCGTTCAGTTCCTGTGTCAAAAGTTGCGACGGTTGGCCCTCGCCGCGCTAATAGATCCTTGTCAATTAGTCTGCTGGGACACTCACTTGCTGGGACTATGTGTCTGACAGTGGCTTGCGGCGCTGTACCTTCTTTCAAATGCCAATACCAGTTCACAAATATATGATATCCGAACAAACTTCTTGCTAATTTGAAGAGAGACGCGACTATGGTCTATCAAATTTTCCGTTGACAGCAGCGATGCAAGGTGTTGGTGGGGTTGAAAATTGTGTGGGTTTGTGGAGAAACGCAACAAGCATGCAGCGTTGGAAGATGTTGGCTGTTGTGGCCAGTCTTTGGCACTTGAATGAGAGTGCTTTCATCAATGTGTCTTGCAGTTTGCAGTGTACTGGGGGCAAATTGCCATAACGCAGTACACTTTGCAGCTGCGCATTCCTCTGCTTTCGACAAATCTTTTGTAAAACCTGCTGTTTAAGAATGACTTTCCGAAAAGACTCACTCATAATCCGGGCTTGCCAAAGTGCTTTCTGGCATTCAAGGCAAGGTGGTACAGTTACGTACGTGTAGGCGTGTAGGTACCGGTACCAGTTCGTACTCCAGCTCTCATCAAGGCTTACGTGTACAAGGATAAATGATATGTACTGTATGGGTGTTGTCTTCATGCAGCATGCAGTCTGCCACTGTGCATACTACTCCAGTAGTAGCGTACCAAGTGGGAAGCCAGAGTAGTGCTCTACTATTATAGAGTCGAGTCTAGAGTACTAGTATCGTACGGTACAACTATTATACCTGGTACCTAGTATCCTTGTAGGAGTCATGAGGATCATTGCCTCATTCAGCGTTCTATTTCCGCTTTCCGATTCGGTGTCTTCTTAAAATCTGTTCATGCGTTCATGACGTGCATCCTACAGGACGGTAATAATAACAACCTTTTTGGAGTGGTGTGTTTTTTGGCCACCATGCACCATACCATCAGTCCCGCTAGCAAGCGGCTTGATGCCTGTTGGAGCCTTTTACAGTGGCTGGCAGCTGGCAGAAGAGAGGGCTGACGAGCTGACGAGAGGCTGACACTACCAACCACCAGCTGTCAACCACTTCATCAACATAGCCAGTAGCAAGAGGATCCCAACGGGTGGTACCTGGTACAACGCAATGAAGGACGATGTCCGACATGGTGAGAAGATACCGGGATCCTGGTATCAACTCGGTTGCCACTACTTCGTACTCCACTACACCGTCCGCAGATAGTTCAGAATTGAGCTATGCCAGTGGAAAAGTTCCACCGTGTCAACTACGGTAAAGTATCCAACATCTCACTAAAGGGCTATCTGCTCACTCCAATCTAAAGCGGTACTCTAGCTAGCTAGCAGCTCGCCAGCGCTACTACATACTACATGTAGTAGCGCTGCACCTGCACTGCCTTTGGACAAACAGGGGGGGCACATTCGCATTCGGTTCAACCGTTTATCATAATATTTGATCACGTTCTGGCCGGGACGGGACTATGGATTCTTGCTCGGTCCCACTTCGGTCTTGGGAGTGAAAAGCCCTCGAAAGCTGGTGCATCTATTATCTCGGCACAGTCATACCGATTTCTACAGAGGTAGCCGCTCAAGGTTCAGGGCTTGAGAGGACGGGCAGCAAAGTCATACACGGCAGAGCAGCAGGCAGAATGTACCCCGTGAGAGCAGCAGGCCCAATGCTGGGATGTTGATCTAGATATACATAAGCAAGCCTCTCCCGGTGCAGCTACACATGGTACCGTACACTACTCATGCTCAATGTGTAGCTCCGAAAATCACCATACAGTTACATTAGCAATTACATTGCCGCCGAAAGGGTGAATGATGATGTGCGGCCTTTCGAAGAGCTGTGAAGAGATGGTCACTTGCTCGGTTCGTCTTGTTCTTTTTGGCTTTGATGTGACTCGCAATGACATCGTTGTAGATTGTTCGGGCTTGATCTCCCAATTCGACCATTTCAACCTGATATGTTTTTGGCGGGATGATCTGACTAAGGACGTCTTTCTTTCGCCTCCGCAGCACAAATGGGGCAAAGAGTTGGTTGAGTTTTCGGTACGCAAACTCATTAGTACTCTCTTTGTTTCCACCATTGCCTTCTTGCAAATTCACAAAGTGCTGCAGCATGCTCAATCCACCGTCGGAATCGTGCTCATCAAACTCGCCCGTTTTCTGCGAGAAGAGCGGCATCAGGAAGCAAAGCAAAGCCATCAGTTCTTGTGGACTGTTTTGCACTGCCGTGGTTAAGAAATGATGGAAGAGGTTAGCTAGGTTTCATTTTGTTCCATCCACATCCCACCGCTAGCCAGTAGTAGGGTGTCCCTACCTGGTGTGCCAGTTAGCAAGAGCCGATGACACATTCTGAATTGGTCCAGGTTCTTGTAGCGTAATCCGTGAGCGTTTTTCAAAAGATGACCTTCGTCGACAACGAGATAGTCAAACTTGATCCTTCCCAGAAAGGCTCGATCGTCGCTGCTCTCTCTTTGAAAGTATGTAATGGAAGTGAGTACCACATCAACATTTGGCGTTGTGCCCTCTTGTTGATAAATGGACAGAGAATGCATTTGAGTTCGTCTCGCTCTTCCGTGCTGCCGTGGTATTTGACAACATTCAAATCAGGAGCAAGTTCTCAAACTCCCTGACCCAGTTGGAAACTACCGAGGCTGGGACTACAATCAGGTGAGGAATATGCGTGTCGGTGGGTGACGACTCCTTGTTGCTGGTTTTTGGCTTCTTTGCAGGCTGGGACTTTTTCTTTGGCTTTGGGCTTTCAGCATCATCATCATCCACGTCAATAACATCGCCATCGATGTCATCATGGTCCGATAAATCGTCATCGTGCTTTCCAAGATGTGGCTTTGTTACCAAGTCGGTTTGATCCCCCACTTGTAAAATCTCATTGTCCCTGCTGTACTTCAACCAAGCCAAAAAGGCGATTGTTTGGCATGTCTTTCCCAAACCTGCATAATGTCACCCACAGCAAACAATCGACTAGTCGTCATCCATTGTTGGAGGAATATTGCAGTTGTAGGTCGATTGTGAGCCTCCAAAATCTACGGCTTTTCCTGATTCTCAGAAAACAAGTCGACTATGATGCTTCGAACGGTATTCTCAGGGGATCTTACATAGTAAAGCCAGGTCACAAGCATGGAATAGTTCGTATTGATAGTGTAGATCAATATACAACAGAAATATATGACTTGTTACCTGTAGATCATCTCAAAATTGTCTATCGTGATATCTCTACTAGCTAGCTAGTGATTTCTGGATTCTTAGTCATCCTATCAACAGTAGTCACCTGTAAAATGGTCGGTGGCTTCATTGCTTTTGGTAGCCATTAGATATTTCAACACTCATGTATTCCCTTCTAAGCCATAGTAGAGGACAATGCCACTTTGTCTAAGAGGCTTCTGCAGTGGTCAAGCCGTCATAGCCCAAGGGAAGGTGAAAATTTTGCAAGCAATGGCCGAGAATGGTTGACTTCAATACTTCCGAGAGGAAAAATATGAAGTTTAGTGAAAAAGGGAAAGCTATCAAGCCTACTTCTTGTTGCCAATATTTAGAGCCTCCCCTCAACTGATAGGACTTCATACCAGATACTGCCCATTGTTGCTTATAGCAATTTTGCATTTCGTAATTCTAGGAAAGCCACAGCAACTCCAGGACCTCTGTGGAAACTCAAGTCGTGCTACTTTTCGTCTCCTAAATCCTTTTGATCGTCTCCTATTTAATGGATTTCGTCTCCTAAAAATAGGAGACGAAACGGATCGTCTCCTAAATCTTTTGTCTCCTCTTAAAACGTCTCCTATTTTCAACGGATCGTCTCCAATTCTCAACGGATCGTCTCCTAAGTGTACCATATAAACTGTATGGTATCGTCTCCTAAATCTTTCGGATCGTCTCCTATTTCGAAACGATCGTTTCGAAAAATATGAAGTTTAGTGAAAAAGGGAAAGCTATCAAGCCTACTTCTTGTTGCCAATATTTAGAGCCTCCCCTCAACTGATAGGACTTCATACCAGATACTGCCCATTGTTGCTTATAGCAATTTTGCATTTCGTAATTCTAGGAAAGCCACAGCAACTCCAGGACCTCTGTGGAAACTCAGTCGTGCTACTTTTCGTCTCCTAAATCCTTTTGATCGTCTCCTATTTAATGGATTTCGTCTCCTAAAAATAGGAGACGAAACGGATCGTCTCCTAAATCTTTTGTCTCTCTTAAAACGTCTCCTATTTTCAACGATCGTCTCCAATTCTCAACGGATCTTCTCCTAAGTGTACCATTAAACTGTATGGTATCGTCTCCTAAATCTTTCGGATCGTCTCTATTTCGAAATTTTCGTCTCCTAATTGAATGTCTCCTATGAATCGTCTCTTAAATATAGGAGACGATTGCTTTCGTCTCTTAATCATTTCGATCGTCTCCTATTCCTCGGTGTATTGTCTCTTAAGTATTTTGCCACGAATGACGTTTCCAGAGTTTTCAAGCAACCCATCCTCTTCTGGCTGAATCCGCAGGACCTCTGTGGAAACATCATTCGTGGCAAAATAATTAGGAGACGATACACCGAGGCATACTAGTAGGAGACAATCGAAATGATTTAAGCGACGAAAGCAATCGTCTCCTATATTTAGGAGACTATTCAGAAAGGGATATTCCAATTAAGAAACGATCGTTTCGAAATAGGAGACGATCCGAAAGATTTAGGAGACGATACCATACAGTTTACATGGTACACTTAGAAGATGATCCATTGAGAGTAGGAGACGATCCGTTGAAAACAGGAGACGATTTAAGAGACTTTGAAAGGTTTAGGAGATAATCCTGATCGTCTCCTATTTATAGGAGACCATTGCTTTTAATTAAGAGACGATCAAAAGGATTTAAGAGACGATCGTTAGCACGATTCAAATTTCCATAGAGGTCCAGATATAAGCAAACAGCAACGGTGGAGGATTTAGCTCTTTGCTTCTGTTTCTGTAAAGGAAAACTTTGCAAAGCCAAGAAGAAGAAGAAAGGTGCAACGGCAGCAAAAAGACCAGAAATTACTAGCACAGAAGGCATAGCTGTAGCTTAATAAAAAGACAAAGATGCAATGAAGATAATCACCATCTAAGAAGCACAATTTTTTGGTAGTTCCAGAATTGGGAACCTCTGGTCTAGTTTAGGAAGCAGACCCCAACCAAATCTTTCCAACCAAGTCCTAGGTTCCAATTAGACAAGGCAATGTCCATTTTGGCAATCCCCACGTGGTTCTTGTGGATTGTGAATCTCTTTTAGAACTTTGCAAATTAGGAACCAAGGTATATGTGTAAAAGCTAGGTTCCTAATGGTTTCTTTGGTGGTTGCCAATTCATAGCATTTATATCTAATTTATTACTCTATCTAGTCATCTAATACATGCTCCAAATCAAATCACAAGTCCACGAGGATTTGGGCAAATCTATCCACGAAATCATCGACTTAGGCAAAATACATGAAGTCCAGGACTTGTACATATGGGAAAATGGGTGCCGACACAGGAATCACCTTCAAAACACTAGAAAATAACACTAGCTAGAGGGATGAATCCAGTAGTAGGATCCACTCTCTTGTGTGTTGTCGAGTAGCTAGCCTCCTCCTGTTCTGGTTGATGACTGTTACCATTCAATGACTTGACGACGTACAGGCAGCTGATAGAGCTGGAGTTAACAGTCTTCTCTATGGCGGTAGCCTCTTCTCTTCTTGTTGCACTACACTAAAAGTTAGTGTTAAGATCTTTCGGGTCTTTTGAGTTTGAGAGAATGTAAGTTATGAGAAAGATTAGAAAGCTATGAAAACCTAATCAACGAGAGCGCTTCGTCGTGAAGCTCATTGAGCAGGTCTCCCGCGGGAGGCCTGGAAGTGTGATAACGTAGGTTGTAGAGCGATGTTTCATCAACAACCTAGTATGACTAGCAGTCACCTGTCTCAATGACATTCGCGAGAGACTACGTCACGAGTCGAACTCAAACCCTATCTAGGATCGAGTCGCGAATAAGGCTAAGAGCCGTGTATTGCATTGTTATCCGGAGCGATCGATCGTTGCTCGACAATGGTAATTCATCGGCCGCCAGCATTGCAGCAGAGAAAACAACAAATAGATATGAGTTTTCTTGTTTTCAGTGCTCAACTGCAGACGGCTCGAGACTTGCCCCCTGTTTTTCAAATTGCATCAACTCTTACCTGTCATGGGCCGAGAATTAACTGCCATCCTAAACTAATATAATTTCAACGAGGATGGCTTTCCAATTTGCATCGGAGATAGCCGGCTTGAGTGAGGCTTCTTGATAGAAGAGGTGCAACAATTTGATTCAAATAAATCCAACTCACTTGTTGATGGCCAAGAACTGGCTGCCTTCCCGCATTCCATAGAAATTCAATGAGGAATGGCTTTCAAATCTACACCTTCAATAACACTCTTGATAATAAACTTACCTCGAATCGAATCGATCGATTGATGGGCTTAAATAAAGAACTCCTTGCTAGCTCCTCCTCCAGCACTCTTGTCGGCCAAGTTTGGATTTCTCCTCTGTTTTGCCATAGGAATTCAATAAGGGAGAGAAGTCAGTACTGCAACTTCAATAATACGCTGATAATACATTTACCTTTAATAATAGTAGCCATCACCATTATTGGCTGTCATGTTGTGGTGTACCAGCACGATGTTGGTGTATAGAGGAGCCACAATAATGCTGCTCGGTGCTCGATCGGATCTACACTTTCATTGAAATATACCAATAAGTCTCATGTACTCATATATGCAGAAAAATACGACGATTTGTTTGATGACACTCTAATCTTGTAGTTCCTACTTCATTCTGAAGCTTTAAGTAGATTTCTTACCATATGTGTCTACTAAAACTCATCTTATAGTATATGTGTGTATGTGCACCAGCTCTAC